TCCCCTCCCAGCCCCTCCTCACCTTGTAGGAGCGGATGAACCGGACAAAGACTGGGAAGAAGACAGATGGGGGGGTCGTCTTGGGGCTCTCGCCGAAATACCGCACCACAGTGTTGTAGGCATCCTGGAGCAGGGGACGGGGCGGTCACTGAGGGGCTGCATGTCCTGCAGCTCCCGGGTGTGCAAGGCAAGGTGTGCACGAGGGCCGTGCAAAGCAAGGCAAGCATGCATGAGGAGCGTGCAAAGCAAGGCACGCACGAGTGCCGTGCAAAGCAAGATGTGCACGAGGGCCATGCAAAGCAAGGTGCGCACAAGGAGCACGCAAAGCAAGGCACGGACCAGGGCCATGAAAAGCAAGGCACGCACGAGAAGCATGCAAAGCAAGGCAGGCGTGCACGTGGAGCGTGCAAAACAAGGTGGGGATGAGGGCTGTGCAAAGCAAAGCGTGCACAAGGGCCGTGCAAAGCAGGGCGTGTGTGACAAGGCATGTGCAAGGGCCGTGAGAGGCACAGCCGCTCCGCAGCCCTCACCTCGGCCGTCCGCGCGTCCTTCTGCAGCCGCTCCAGCTTGCCCTCGCTGGCAGCCAGGAAGGTGCGCAGGACGCTGTTCTCGTGCAGCCCGCACTCCCGCCGCAGCAGCTCCATCCCCCGGCCCAGCTCCTTCACGTCCAGCAGCACGTTCTCCAGGGACACTGTGGGGACACAGGGACGGGTCAGGGGACCCTCGGCCCCGGGGGACGGCGAGCCAGGGGCGCGGGGACGGGGGGCACCTGCGGCCGCCTTCTCCACAAAATGCAGCTCCTGCCAGAAGGTTGCCAGCTCGGGGTACTTCTCCCGCACGGTCAGCGCGATGAAATGCAGCAGCGTCATCTTCCTGTCCGTCGACTTGGTGTCCAGGAGCTGCAGGGTGATGGGGGGGGGTCAGGGCTGTGGGATGGAACCCCCGGGAGCCCACGCGGTCCCAGGGACCCGGGCAGGGGGTCCGGGGATGCCCACCAGGTCCAAGCTCTGCAGTTTGAAGCCGTAGACGGCGCCGCGTTTGCTGCTGTTCATGTAGTTACCCAGCGCCAAGATGATCTGCAGGGGAAAGCACCGGGGGTGGGGAGTCAGGGAGGAACGAGACCCCCCATGGACCCCCCCCGCCCAGCTATGGCAAGGACGGAGGGCAGGACACTGACCCGGTCCCCACGTCCCCGGTCCCCCCCATGCTCACCTCCAGCATGTGCTTCAGCTTCTGGGAGGACTTGACGGAGGCCGAGGCCGCGATGATGGCATTGAGCTGCTGCAGAGGGACAGGACAGGGGCGCTCAGCTGGGGGGTGGGATCTTGGCACCCCCGGCAGGTGCAATCCCCCCTCCCCAGCTCCGTACCGGCGTCAGCATCTGGAGGTTTTCAGCGAAGTTGCCGAGGAAGGCCATGATGGCCATGCGCTGGGGCAGCCGCTCCACCTTGCTGAACTGCAGCATGAAGCGGTCCTCATCCGCCAGCTCCTCCAGCGGCTTTTTCTCCCCCCCCCGCATCAGGCACTCCACGAAGTCCACCGGCAGCGTCGCCAGGTCGAACCTGCCCCATGCCCACATCATTGGAGAGCTCCCCGCTGCGCCCTGTCTGGGCCCCCTGCACCCAGCCAGACCCCCTGCGCCCTGCCTGGACCCCTGCACCCCGCCTGGGCCCCCTGCACCCCAGCCAGACCCCTTGCACCCCAGCCAACCTCTCTGCACCCCAGTCAGACCGCTTGCACTCTGCCTGGCCCCACTGCACCCCAACCAGACCACCTGCACCCTGCCTGGACCCCCTGCGCCCTGCCTGGACCCCTGCACCCCAGCCAGACCCCTTGCACCCTGCCTGGACCCCTGCACGCCAGCCAGACCACCTGCACCCCAGCCAGACCCCCTGCACCCTAGCCAACCTCCCTGCACCCCAGCCAGCCCCCTTGCACCCTACCTGGCCCCACTGCACCCCAACTAGCCCCCCCCTGCACCCTGTCTGACCCTCTAGCACCTTGCCTGGTCCCCCTGAATCCCAGTCAGCCCCCCTCCACCCCAGACAGCCTCTTCCCTGGCCCCACTGCACCCCAACCAGCCCCCCTGCACCCTGCCGGGGCCCCCTGCACCCCAACACTCCCCCCCGCACCCCGGTGCGGGGGCACATACGTGTGGATGGCCCTGCAGATCTCCTCGGTGCTGCGGCCCGCCTTGCGCAGGGTGATGGCCAGGTTCTTGGCGCGGTTGGCCTCCAGCAGCGTCACCTTGCTGGCCGCCTTCTGCGACGCTTTGTTCTTGGCGCAGACGAGGTCGAGGGCCGGACCCTGCGCCTTGGTTTTGAAGAGCTCCTCGAAGCGCTCCAGGTCAAGGTCCTGGGGGGACGAGGAGGGGGCTCAGAGGTGGCAGCAGTGGCGGGGGGGGGCCCCCCCCCCCCCCGCG